TAGTACATTCCTAAGAGCAATTCGTCACTAATTTGGAACAAAATCCTATGATTAAGTTCCCCTCCTCCAAAAGAGAAGGTCCAGACTACGTCCTAGACATAGTCTTTCAGTCACTACAAAGCGCTCGTCGTTGGCCAAAGTAGATGCTACCAGTCTATTATGGTGTTGTACCTGGTCCTGTGACGCAGCCTTTCCATACAGTCAGAGCTTATGTAGTTCCGTGTGGAGCCAATGTCAATGAAGGCTCCACATTTGCGGCCTCCTACACCAACTTCCACACACTTCTAGGACCACCACTTTGTGCCACCCAGGATTCTCTAGGGTCCCAATCTGACCACTCACTCTGCGAATCGTCTAAGGCCTCTGACACATTTAATGTACAAAGCACATTTTGGTCTAGATGAGCCTGCGGGATGACTAAAGAGTCGCTAGCCTTGACCAACTCATGAAGTGAGGAGGGTATTCCCACTTCACCATGAGTAGAAGCAGCTAAAACTTCCACCGGCCTCTTGTGTTTCCTGAGCTAGAAGCCTGGGAAGAAGGCACGCCTCTCTTAGGGATATCTTCTGCGTGACCTTCACATTCTTGCACTTATACTGGATGTGCTCATTTTTACCTAGTTAATGCAAGCTTCATGCGAACGGCGGTCCCGCTACACTATTCTAAGCCTGCCTTAACCCAATCATCCACTTTAGACTGATTGGAGGCGGCCTGACCTTGACTCTTTTGATGGCCCTTCATTCGGCCATCCGCCTTAGCCTTTTTTTACCGCGACAAGTGTGCTACCCTCAGCATAGTCCTCACCGCAATCCTCTGGTGTGTCCATCAGGTCAGAAGGGTCACTGACCTCTTTATTCGTCTACCCTTCCTCTTCCACTCCTGTGAACTCTCCTTTCCTCTTCTGTCTACTGAAGTGTGATATGTCAACTGTGTTCTCTGACTCTCTAAGAGAAATAGCGAATGCCTGGGACAACAATGAGATTCTCAACGGTAGTCGTAAACTCCCTGATTGACTGTGCTAGCGAGCTTCTACCCTGTCGACGAACTATCCTATGCGTCCCCCATACCCGGCTTTCACTATGAACACTCTAAGCCAGTTATCACTTTCTTCTCTAGCAAGGTTCTCTTGGCCCTCACCCACATCGGAAATGATCTCAACCTGAGGTTAAGATCCTCCTCCTTCTTCTCGCTTGTATAAGGAAGGGGAGCCCTCTTCGGGGTCTTTGAGAACAAGGAACTTGCTGTTGTTCCTGTGGTGGAACAGGTTACTGTGGCGGTGATTGAGTAGCTGTCACCGCCTGACTAGAAGAAGAAGAAGCTACAGTCTGTTCTATTGCTGCTGACGAACCGCTTGGTTAKGTGCCAGCTTGGGGATAGATGCCTATCACTGCCATCTTAGGGAATGGCGATCTATAAACTGCGTGCAGCCTAGAGCTTTAGCTGCTGCAACTGAGTCAATGTCTAATCCAAGGTGTCTTGCATGAAGTCCATTCTGCTGACTACGCGTGCGTGTAGTGAGAGCAAAGTAGACCTCAACACCTTCATTGGGTCAAAGAACGCTGACTCATCCGTTGCCTCTAACGCAGTTTTCTCGGCCTCCATTCTCTCCAACCTGACTATCTTGTCTCTAATAGTTTTCTTTCTCTCTGTGGCATCCTGAAGTTCCCTCTCTAGCCGTGCATGGATCCTTTCGACTTGCTGGAGTTCCCTCGACTCCTGCTGGCGTGGGGTCAACGGGCTTAACTGCGAGCCCGCCATTTGAATGATGGAGACAATAGGAACTACAGTACTAGAGATGCCCGGGGACCAGGTGAGCATTCCCAACTGTGTCCCTGACGAGGTCCCAGATGAGAGGGCAGCATTGGACGCTGCTGCGGTAGCCATTGCAGCTGCGGCGGCCTTTCTAGGTGCTACGTTAGCTGCTGCTACCAGCTGTGCAACTTCCCTGCTCTTCTCAACTGCTGCTCGTGCACGAGCTCTTTCTTTGGCCCTAAGCCGTCGCTTGACTTCTGTACCTAGAATCTAGAACACGAGCGGAACTCTCTTTAGTTCCGACCGTGAGTCACTCATCGTCAACTTTACCCTCATCGTTGTCTAACCCACTCTACAACTAGGCAAACATTATCTGCACTACAACCCCCTAGTGGAGTTCTACCACAGCATGTGTCTGACCGGCAATGAATGTGTCCGGCAGGTATCTTCACCACGGTCAAGCGATCGTCTAACAATATTCACATAGACTGTACACATAATCTAATCCTAACATTGACTAGTTCACTTACAGCAGCATTAGATAGAACTGGATACAACAGTCCTACTCTAATCTATCTGTGAGGTGTTAGCAGCTGTCAACCAACTAATCAATAATAAAACAAGACTATGTTGCAGATGTATGATTAGTGGGTATGGTTGTGTTTCCAGTTGAGCACCAATTAGAACCTACCCTTCCCCTCAATCCAACCATCCGGAAAGCATCTTGAGCAGAGCAGTGTATTCRTGTGTGTATCGGCCCACCCCTGTGCCCAAGTCAAAGCCGAGCAAGCCAACCAGTCCRCTCTTATTTAYCCTCGTACGGAAACGAGCCTTACTGTCCATGTGATCTGGCTGATCAGGAGGAATTTATAGAGCGCCCCCAYCTCTTCAGGAATTCTTTAACGTCGCAGTCAGGACGACGATCACAGCCAGAATCACAATGAACTCCCAACCAGAAATGTTTATAGACGGTCTGGTAAGCGTCTCTAAAAGGTTGGCACACCCGGCAAGACTTCTACTGAGCGCAGCAAGTGCCT